GGGGTTGGGTTTTCGTCGCTTGGCAACGACGTTGTAAAACAAGCCCCCCCCCTCGGTGTTTGCCATCGGGATTGGGTTTTCGTCGCTTGGCAAAGACGTTGTAAAACAAGCCAATTCACTTCGTGAAGTCGGCAACCAGGTTCCCGTTTTTGTTTTATACCTCTGTTTTTTTTTGGCGGTCACCATAATGTTGGTCGAGTAGATCATCTTGTGCGGGGTGGAGAACTCTCACTCCGCGCAAGGGGGATGATCGCACCACGTTGTGTCAAAATGGTCAAGCACCCTCGAGGCAGTTACACAGTGCTTACAACTGTCTCTGAAAGTGAAAGCATAAGAAAATAAATTAATTCATACGCAGCTGTCATCCGTACGCAAGGAAGTAAGCACAAGATGCCGAACACCCTTAGCAGGATGCAGCGCACCCTTCATGCGACTCGCCGAATATCTCACGGCGCTTCGCGCTTGGTGATGTGAGAGCCTGGTCCGGTGAGAACCCGGCGTGCTCCGTCCCGGCTTTGTAGGGATGCGAGGTCAATGGTCTAACGACTACGGCATGCACGACTATGAGTGCCCCCCCCCCCCCTTCTCTTTATCCTACCAAATTGGGACATCATGGCCTACTTTTGCGGCATCTCACGCCTAGTTGGACGACGGGCGTTTTTTCTCTTGCTGCCGTAAGGCGCGATTACCTGTCTCACGTGCCCCGTGCCTCTTTCTGTCTTTGCTGCTGCTGTTGCTTTGGCTACTGTGCCTATTTCAATAGGGTGTTACGACGTACTTGGACGGCAGTCGTTACGAGGGAGAGTTCCAGGAAGGCGCGATGCACGGCGAGGTGAGTCACATCGGTTGCGGCTCTACCACCGTTGCGTAGGAGTGCGATGAGACTTTGCTTTATTTTTCGTTGGAAATTTCGTCGCCACAGCACCTTGTGCAATGGCGTTCGTATTTGATGGATCGGACCCCCCCCACACAGGATGCTCTGATGTTGTCGGCCCAAACCGGACGTTTTCTTCACATCCCGACCGATTTCTTTGATCTGTTGCCACACGTGTGTATTTTTTCTCTTGGCGAAGCCTTGCCCCTCTCTCACGGCGCCCCTCTGATCCCACCTCTATGCTGCTTCCCTCATGTGCGTTCGTGATGGTGACGCTGAGGGCAGGGTACCACCTTCACCGCAGATGGGACCGTCATCCGCAAGGGGGTTTGGGCCGACGACGAGGAAGTGACCGCATGACATGGCAACATGACACGACGAAAGTCCGCAACATGTCACGGCGCACACTCTGCGTCGCCCCCAAGGACGGAAGTAGCGGTTTTACTCCACCCACGAAAGGCCGCAGAAGCGAGATCTGCGATCATCGCGCTGAGAGGAACAACCGTCAGTGGAGAAAACGGTCAGTTGAGGTGACCAGCAGACCGGATGAAAATGCTGCGCGCTGGCGCGTGCTCCGCGCGCACCCTGTGTCGATATCCGAAGGAAGGGCAGGGAACCCCCCCCCCTCCCCCCCGTCGAAGGAAAGAAGCCAAGAACCCCTTTCTCGGGGAAAGGGACGAAGCCCGAAGGACCCTCGTCGTTAGAGGAAACATGGTGGAGACTGCTACTGTGGGAGCGATTTCGAGTGAAAAAAACGCTCCTACCTAAGACAAGTCGATCGCGTGCGAGTGCGACCAGACTTCATGTCCTTATTCTCCTTCCTAGAGTGCGGTGGTGACATCACACCGCTTTATTTGCATGTTGACCCCTTGCGTTTTCACTGGGCAACCGATCTGAGGTTATGTTGGGCATCGAGCGCGAGTTGGCGCACGTGCCACGGCTGTATGTTGGTGGTAAACAGGGTTGGTATGGTATGCTATGGCGCAGCCTGAAGGGGCCAGCGAAACGGGTCGCGAGGTATTTCGTGTCGGCACAAATGTCCGAATCTACCAGAGAATTTTGAGAACATGTTGACGGCGAATCAAGGCGGCGGAACTAGGCTTGCATGCAGACATTACGACCGCTGCTACTGCTCCTCGCTATTCTTGAAGTCGTGTAGTCGTCATCTCTCGCCTCTCCTGGTATAAAAACCCCACGTGATGTATGTATTCTTTGCGTGTTCCTTGCGATGCGTTTTTACGAGGCCCTGCGTTTTATTTTCATGTGAGGCCTCCGGCTTATCATTTGTACGTGTGGCGTGTTTTTTCTGGCGTAGGTCTGGCCGCAAGGTATGTGGAAAAGCGCTGGTGTGTTGCCGCATTTATTGTTGTGTCGTGCTATGCATTCGGGCCTGCCTTTCCTTGTGCGATGGATCGATGTGACTTGTACCATGCGGATTTTTTTATTTCCATTGTGGCCTTGCCGTGCCACCCTTGGCCCGTGTTGTTGGATAGAGTGTGCGGGATTGAAATCGGGTTTTGTTTCGCGAGTGGCCGAAACAAGTAGTCGCACTACTGTAGTTTAGCTTCCAGGCAGGATACGTGTTCCCGGGTGCCAACCCTGGCCTTAGCGGCGGCGCGTGTACGCACAGCAGCAGCGCAAATCATGCAAAGAGGGCGTTGAAGTGATGTCCGCGCTATGCTTATTTTGTTGTGACATCTGATGGCCTGGCAGATGAGGAAAGTAAAAAAAAGAGAGAGGCTAGTCGAGAAGCGGAGGAATCCTTGCAAATTTGAGGAAAATGGAGGAGAGAAGGAGAGAAAGAGAGGAGAGGAGAGGAGAGAAAGAGAGGAGAGGAGAGAAAGAGAGGAGAGGAGAGAAAGAGAGGAGAGGAGAGAAAGAGAGGAGAGGAGAGAAAGAGAGGAGAGGAGAGAAAGAGAGGAGAGGAGAGAAAGACACGAGACAGAGGAGAGGAAAGAGAGAAGAGAGAGGAGAGGAGAGGAGAGGAGAGAGACAGAGACAGAGAGAGACAGAGAGAGAGGGAGACAAGACAGAGAGAGAAAGGAAGAAGAGGAGGATTGCTGCAGCAACCGTATTGTCAGCGAGCGGTGTGGTTGCACAAGGAGGCGCTTGTTGCTGCTGTTGTGTGTATCAATGTTGAACGGAGAATGGCGTTCATGGCAGGTGCCGACAGCCACGAAGGCCTTGATCTGGGTATGGTTCAATGTTGAAAGGAGGATGGCGTTCATGGCAAGTGCCGACTGCAATGAAGGCCTTGGTCTGGGTATGGTATGGTATATATATTCTGCTATCTAACGGGCCCCGGACGTGGAAGCACAACAGGTGTTTAGGGGCAGTCGTACGAAATCAGTACCGTACCACCGTTTTCTTTTTTTCTGCAGGTGCATGCCGCTGTATTGTACATACCCAACATGCTGTAGTCTTTATATCGAGACTCCGATCCTTTTTTTTACGATAAGAGTTGGCGATTCTTTGTATGTATGGCTGGTTTTGTGCCAACCGATGGGCGGGTGCAAGGGAAACGGCAAAGTCGCAAACTTGAAGGGAGCGGGGACGTGTCGGTGGTCGAGAGGGGCTAATTACTCGTTGTTGCTTACCTTTGCGGCCTCTGACCAATGGCAATCAATACTGAATCGCGTCGGGGCGGAGCAAGCAGGGGGCCGAGGGCGAGGCAGTTTTTTTTCGCAGATATTGGGGCGAAGCGCGTTTTACCGGGTGGTAACGAGTATGTTTCCTTTCCGTTGTTGGAGATGGCTTTTTTTTTCGCGGTGGCTTTTCGCATCGTGTGTTTTGAGCCTTCTCCATGCCTTGTGTGGTATTTATTATTCGTTGCTTCCTACTTGGTGGTAACCCCGCCGTATCGTAGTTGAAATGAAGAGGAAATATTACCGCATTGCGTTTTTTTTTTGTGTGTTTCCGCCTACAGTATGCCTGTTTCAGGAAGTCATTCCCATGTTTCAGGTGGTCATTCCCATATACGTGGAGAATAACCGGGACATGATGTGCTCTCTGGTGTGCTCTCTGTTCACAATGCGCTCAGTGACATGTTGTTGTGCTCACAACACTCACAGTAGCACCGGCGCAAGGGCATATATCCAAATCAAATATAGTTGCAGATGAACAACGCTTGTAGAGGAGGCCGAGGTTTTTTCGCTTGTTGACTGAAGTTTCGCAGACTGTTGTCAGTGACGACGGAGTTTCTTTTTCACGCTGTGGGGACCAGAGCCGAAAGCCTTGGGGCAAAGCAGGCGCGTGCGACGTCATTTTCTTTCTCGTGCCAAGTCCTCCGAGTCTCCCAAATGTGGGTATGCAGCCTAGAATTGCTCCCTCACGCCAAGTACACACTGCTATAGGAACCTCTACTGTTGGCTTGTTTCGTGGTTTCTTCTGTACCACGGAACAACAGCAACCTATTATAATAGACTGTACGAACGGTGTCCAGGAGGATTGATCGTCGTACTGTAGACAATGAGGTACAACCGCTCTCTCGCTTTTCCGCGTCCGTCGGGAAAACGCCTCAAGACTCCCTCAGAACAGCAGTTGCGGCAACCAACCAGCCCCCCCGAAGCCCTTGCTCTCCCTGACAGAGGTGGCCGTACACTGCATTCCTCTTTTGCTCTCATCGCCCTTCCTCGCCGACGTCATGGAAAGATTACTTCGCCGCCTGCTATCTGTTTGTGGCATGCACGGTCAACCAATCCATGGCCTCCTCGATCCCTTCCCCTGTCAAAGCGCTCGTGGCGAAGGCGCGGGTGGGGCGGTGCACCTGCGGCAAGAACAAGAACAGATGAAAAATTACGTGGACTTCAGCGAAAAACTGCTAATAATGTAGATGCTAATTGAGGGTAGCGGACGGACTTGCACGAAAATAAGGCCCACACTATCTCAAGCTCTCCAAGGCTCGTGAGAAGACAATCAGGCGATCAGCTAAACAACCACTATTTATTTCTGGGCCCATTTGCATCGTTGTCGTTGAACGGCGCTCGCCGGGTAGGTATGTGTGTTAGTTTGTTTTCGTCCTATTCATTATGGCGACAGTCCCCCCATTTTTCGTGGTGAGACGTGTACTACACTTTTCAGCGTATGTAGAGTACCACACTTTTCAGTGTATTTGTTCGTGCAACTACAACCATCCAGGGTCACACAGGAGGGGGTAAACACCAGGGCTTTTTCCTTCTTGTTAGTTCTTTTCATGCCCCACCTTCCTCCTGCGGTGCGTGATGAATATTATTTTTTTCGCGAGAAGGGTCCAGCCGTCCCTTTCCCTCGTCAACGGTCTGACGTCGAAGTTTAGTACTCACGAGAGCTTGTCAGCTATATTTCGCTCTCACCCGCAGATTTCGTAAAATTTTCACCCCATGGGGATTCGAATTCACGACCTCTGCGACAAGCGAATTACGAGGATATCACTAGACCACCGGGGCGGCCAGTAGAAGGTATATATTATACGTTAATCATATTTTTACATCCAACTGCTTTATTCCAGGGCTTGCAGTAGCGGGTAGAAGTCAGTTTCTTTCACGTGTGGATTCGAACGGCTGGAAAAGCAATATATATAGAGCCTCACGACGTACATACGTAGACCCAAATGATCTGATTTTGGATCCTACATGGGTTAAGGAACAGGTTATCACCTGAAGCGTGTCAACCGCAAGTGCGATGCACACGTTCTCCAGAGTAAGGCAGCCATCACGACCACTATTTTTGACACCGCCGGCCGATGCCCCCGAAATGGCGTCGTACTTGTTCGCCAAGATCGCGACCGGTGTGTTGCCCTTTCGAAAAGCTTCATCAATGTTCCAAGAATTGCGTCAAGAATGAAGGGGAAATGTATGGGGTATCAGAGAGCGCGGGCATGATGAGCACGGCATTGAGTTCGTCGCATTGGTGACGGTCGTTGTCGCTCGACAGCCGCCAGGCGCTTGTGGTACTCGTTTCGACGCAACAGCAGACGATGCTTTGCGGTCCATGGATACTACAGAATAGATGGGTGTGGTTACTAGTGTGTACCGTGTTACGTAGTTGTACCCCTTCTGCTCCAAAGAAAGGTAGTCCGTACAATAGGACAACAGACAATAGCAGTAGAAACGACGGCATGTACAACAACACCCTATTCCCAGTGTCGAAATGTTTTATATTCTTCCCCAACCGTGCCCGCTCTATACATTTGTTCCAAATATTGGCGAACAATGAGCGGCACCTCTTGACGTCAGTATGCCGTGAAGCTCCTCCCTAGCCACTGCAATTCTCGCGCGGTCCGTGACGTCGACGACGAAGATTACGCCGTGAACATGCGATGCGTGAGAAACCCAAAGGTCGCGATATCGCCCTGTCACGGGCAAGAATAACGTGTGGCTTCGTTGGTAGCACAGAACGTACGTACACACGTTTTAGCATTCAATCACGGTGCTATGCTATGCCTTTACCCAAACAATAATGCAGTCTAATGCGGTCCAATGGAAGACGATGTTATCTAGACCACCGCAGCTGCTCTTGAGTGCCAAGCACGCGTAAGGCTACTACATTACCGCTACTACTGTGTGTTGTGATGTCTGTGTGATATCATGTCATTTTCCGACGTTACCTTGGCCTGACATGTCCCAAGCTACCCAGCCGACGTTCCGTCTGTGGAATTCGACCATTTGGGTGCCAACTGTAGGCGCGGTTCCCACACTCTTCAACATGCTCCTGTTGGTCGAGGCTACATTCGCTAGGTGGCAGAGAACAGAGGTTTTGCCTGGGGTTCAACGCGAGAAGAAGAGCACCACCAGGCACACGTAAATACATACGTGTCAGAGGAAAGAGGAGTTCAGCAGGCCACACTCGTCGTGCAAAGTGCTCTTCTTCAAATGGTTCAGCAATCAACGTGCGATTGCGCTGCTCCGGAACAGGTCTAGCTGCTGCTGTTGCTGCTGCTGCTGTGCCAGAAAGAACAGGATATGGTAATAGTCCCAACGTCGCTGCGAAGTACGATCTCGGTGGTCAGCTGTACGTCTGCCTACGGTGTGCACGAGAAGTGGATATATATTAGCCATGCAGTGGATATACAATCTAAACACTCTCCCCACAAATACTTGCCGGTGGCACCTCACTTGGTAAGATCTACAAAGGTTAAAACAAGTATCGAAACTAGCTTACATCGCTCTCTCCTATTGTAATGAGGGCGCCTACCCGAGACACATAGGCATATGCATTTGTACGGCACATCTTTGGGGTGAGATCCAGACCGCTTTGTACGTTCAAGTACCTGCATTGTCAAGCCCGATAACTAGAACTGACAGGTGCTTGCTCTCACGAAAGAAAAATGGGCCCTTCATCGTAGTTGGTGTTGTGATCCCGTTGATGGCGGGTGTATGCCACCTGCATGTACAGTAGACTATGCCTGTCGCCAGACACGCGCTAACGCACTTCAATGGCTACATGTGGTATGAAGTAGGCTCGTTTCAGGGGATGTTCGGGTTCTGTCCCCGCTTTGCGGCGGAATTGGCATATTTCTGTGGACGTACGTGAAGGATGTTGAGCAGCGGCAGCAGCAGCGCTGCCGCTCATGATTTCAGAAGAGAGAGTCTACCAGGGCAAGGAGCAGAAGGCGAGCTTGGGTGTCCGGTTACCAGTACGTTGACAGAGTTCGAAGCGGTGGTTGGTTCCAGCAAGTGAGTGCAGGAGTACGGTCGAGCAGCAGCAGTGTTGACCGACTTGAGTTGAGTGCACCAGCGAGCAGAACCAACGACAAAGTTTCCTCTTCAAAGCATCATCCATTATCCTCGGTCTTTGAGTCTTTGATCTAGCATCTTCGGCGACAACCGTCCGAGACAT